GAGGAATTAAATTGATTGAGTAGTTTTAAGACTTGTGTCTGGTGTGTGTGCTAAGGCAGCAGATGGTGAGGTCGAGTACATGGTGGACAATGATTTCTGGTGATTGTGAGAAGAGGTCGGGCGTGGAATGCAATATTGGTGTACTTGAGGTTTAAAATATTTCGAAGTTGAAAATATGTTGGATGGCTTCCTAAGTGTGAAATTGATGTTGTACGTTGAATTCCGAGGTTGCAGCTTTTTACGGAATCGAAATCGGAGATACGAAAGTCATTCAACGGTCGAAAATAGAATTTGGACTGTCATGTTCGCCGAGCGCTCGCCTAGCGAAAGGTCCTGGGCAGAAGAATGTTGTTTTCATATTTTTGTCATAGCGGGAGAACCGTAACTCGGAATGGCGCACAGTTCGAAGCATTGGAAAACTATTCTAATGCTCTATGTGATGGTGAAGTAGTGGCTTGGAATTAAGTTATTTATTGATGGACTATATTCGGATTTTGTAGTAAATGCAGAAAGTGTGGTTCGTGTTTCCGCCATAACTCACGAATTGAGTGTCCGTTTGGCATGAGATTTTCCATACTTATTTGAGCGAGTCAATGGTTGTGTTAATCAATGATATTTTGATATATTCAAATAGTATAGAGGATCATGTTGAACATCGGAAACATGAGTTATCAGTGTTGGAGAAGAAGCGGTTATATGCCACTGTGAAAAGAGTTTCAAAGAGTTTTTGGGAGAGCTGTCAACAACTTGTGTGTTGATTTTTGCCGAATCTGACCGGACTATTTGTTGTGTTTTGTGATGCTCTGTTGAGAAGATTGGGAGGTATGTTAAGTGCAACATCAGGGAGTTTTAGTTATGCTTTAAGGAAACTTAAAGTACATAAGAGGAAATAATTGGGACTTCTGAAGGATTATGGTTTTGGATTGAATTACCATTCGGGTAAAGCAAACGTGGTAGCTGATGCATTGATTTGGAAATCTTTGCATATACTGATATTGATGGTAAAAGAGTTAGAACTGATTGGACAATTTCGTGATGTGAGCTTGGGTTGTGAAGAGACTTCTTATGGAGTTAAGCTTAATATGGTGGAGCTACTAGTGGTATTCTTGATGAGATTCAAGAAGGTCAAGAATCTGGTTTGAGTTGGTAAATTGGTTGAATTTGATGAATTAAAGTCGAAGGGTCGAATTGCAGATTGATGAAAATGGTATCAGGAGATGTCGTGATAGAGTTTGTGTTTCAGATATTGTTGAGTTGGGATAAGAGTATTCTTGAGGAAGGACATTTAAGTGGATTGAGTATCCGTCCCGGTGCTATGAAGATGTAACCGAATTTGAGAAAATTGTTTAGTGGCCATAGATGGAGAGAGAAGTGGTTAAAGTTGTGTATGTTGGTTAGGCTTGTGGAAAGTCGAAGTTTGAACATCAGAGACTGTTGAACCTGATGCAACTGTGAATATTTCTGAATGGAAGGGGATGGTATTTCTTATTAGTGATAATGAGAAGTTTTTCAGATCAGCTCACATCCAGTCAATTCCTAATTCCAACCGATTTCAGACACTAATGCACGTTGAACATGCATGTTTTTTAACCAATGCATTCTCAACTTTTATTTATCTCCTCAGCCATGCTAATCTATCCAATCCTTATAGCTACTTAATGTAGAAGTGTTAATTTTACATTTGAACTAACTCCAAGATAATGCTTTGATGTTCTTCATCATTATTGATGTGTCCAACTTTATGTTTCTATAAATAATAACATTTCTCATGAGCCATATATTCCATGTTGTTGAGAAACATATAAGTTGTTATACCTTATTTATTTCTCCTTTAAGACTATTTAGACCTAACTAAATTATTAAAGCTTAAGAAAATCCATCTTAAAGACTTTAGATGAAATGATTTATTTTCCTTTCCAATGGTGAATTACATATCACCTTATCTTAGCTTTCTTCATTTTTCTCATCCAAATCTCCTGAGATTTACTTTTCTTTCTTACTGGTGCTTACTTTATGATTAAATGCTTGTTCTCTTAAAATGATAAATGAAGTGAGGGATACAATTTATATGCAAGTGGATGGCACTTGAGCACAAGTTTGTCTATTCTTTTTCCCATCTTTATTAAACTCATTAATATTTATTTGTTTGACATGTCAGAGTGATATATTTGTATCTTATGACAACACATTTTTATTAAATTCATTAATATTTTAAAATTTATAAAAAATATTTAAAAGACATATTTTAAACTTACATACCTAATTTGTTCATAATCTTTGGTTAGTTTGAACTTGGACACAAAATTATCCTCATTTGACTCCTTAATGCGTCACATCAACACACAATGTTGTTGCCCACATATCTCTCCACTCCACCATAAAACGATGGTTTAATTTCACACATAAAAAACCCCGTTTAGTATACATTGGCATAACACATCAATCGCAATTTCTCTTTAATATTTTTTTTATCCTTTCCCATTTTCTAAATACAACTTAATGTTTTTGTTGTTATACTTTTAGTACATTTATTTTTTCACAAAGATAAATTTAAATAAAGACTTCTTTTTAAATATGTGTTTTCTCAAAGAGGATTTTCATTTTTTAAAAAGGGTAAATAAAATTTGTATCCTCAATTTTTTTACGCAACTTTATTGTAAAAATAACATATTTTTAAAACAAAATTACGTAGTTATAAATATTCATAAATTTGTTTCGTTAAACCAACTCAGTTGATAGTTGTATATGAATTCACGACATCCCACTTGTTCACCTCTAAAGAATAAATTTATGTTCACGAGAATTATGACCACTAAATATTCAAATTAATTTTTTTAAAATCATTTTCTTTACTAACATTACATATATTTTTCAAATTTTTGTATAAAATAATAAATAAGTCTATATATAAAATTTAAATTATATATTAATTAAAGATATAATGATAGCCAAAGAGAAATTCCAGAAGTAGGTATGACAATTTCGTCTATCCACCTTGGGCACCTACAAAATTATCCACAATAAGTATGATACAAATCTGCAAAAATGGACACGAGTACGAGTTCAGATAATTACCCACTTAAATAAACAGAGATAAGTGCGGGTATGGACACCTTAGTACCCACCCTACTCCATACCCGCACAATATATATTTAAATTTATATTATTATATAAAAATAAATGTTTATAAAATTTTAAAAAACACCAATTTTAAACTACTAGATATTTATTATAAGTGATCATTTATTTCATAATTCAACAATAATTTTTTTAATATTTTTTTAATATTTTCAAAATCTTAAAATAATATGATATTTTATATTTGATATTTATTTTTATAGAAATGTAGTTAACGAATACGGGTACCGACATTTACATACTCATAGGTAGAGCTGCCAAAATAGGTTAGCCCATATGAATCAGCCCGCTAAGCTCGAAAAATCATAGACCTTGGGTGTTAAAATTAGATCCCATATTTTTTAAGGCTTTTTAACTCAACCTTAAAAAGCCTGCTACTCATTAGGGCTAGTCCATTAGACTCACGTCGCTATAAATTTTAAAAACTTATATTAATACTTATATTGTCTTACTACAAAATAACACATTTATTTTTCTCATTTCACTAAATTTTATCTCTATTCTATTTAATTTGTCTCTTTTAAATATTATACATTAATATAATCAACACCATTTTCTCGTATTCTATTAGTTTCTCTTATGTTAAATATTTGAATATTATTTTATATAATTTATACATGTATTGTATTTAAAAACACATTATAGTATTTATAAAAGATAATATAGTATTTAAAATATATTATGTTTAATTTATATAATTTTAAATTTTATTTATAATAAATATTATGACATTTTTATTTTATTTTATATTTAAAAAAGTCCGTTTAGGGTCGGGTAATCCAAAACCCATATAGGATCGGACTCGAGTAGTAACTTTCGAGTCCATATTAAAAATAGAATATTATGATTCAGTCTTTAAAAGCCCGAGTCCACTAATACCGACCCGTTTAGAACTGGGTAACTTATTTTGACAACTCTACTTATAGGATATAAATACATACAGTGCTAATGTTGATACCCAAGTAAGTATAAGCTCGGGCACGAGGTTTTTTTTTCAATTACAGATATGAGAACGAGTACTATAATACACTATCAAAATTCTACCTCTTCCTTGAGATCGATGGAAATCTTTTTAGATAATTTAACTTATACTTTTAAAATACAAATTAATAATTAAATAAAAAATATTGTTTTAAAAATTGTAAATTAACTTATACTTTTAAAATACAAATTAATAATTAAATAAAAAATATTGTTTTAAAAATTGTAAATTAACTTTAATAAAAGTATAATTTTTTAATTGTTTTATGATACAAATATTCTATAAGTAGGTTATTTTACCTTATAGAAGACAAGTTAACATTATCCAATCTTATATTTGTACTCTATAAGTAGGTTTTTTAACTTATATCCAATCTTATATATATATATATATATATATATATATATATATATATATATATATATATATATATATATATATATATATATATATATATATATATATATATATATATATATATATATATATATATATATATATATATATATATATATATATATATATATATATATATATATATATATATATATATATATATATATATATATATATATATATATATATATATATATATATATATATATATATATATATATATATATATATATGTAAAATTTAATAAAAAATATGAAATAATCTTTCTTTAAGTGAATTATAAATATTATTTTTGACCTAAACAATACTCCTAATAATAATAATAATATTTACTCTATTATATATTTTCAAGATTACCCTATAGCTTGGTTCACACAAATAAGAATAAGAATAAGGACGAACTTGCCAAACTAGGGTTTCCTTCTCCACACACACCAAATCGAATCCCAATCCAATTCAAACCAGTCCAATTTGAAGCGCAATCATGCCGAAGAACAAGGGAAAGGGAGGAAAGAATCGAAAGAGGGGTAAGAACGAAGCCGACGACGAGAAACGCGAGCTTGTTTTCAAAGAAGATGGACAAGAATACGCTCAAGTTCTCCGCATGTTAGGTAACGGTAGATGCGAAGCTATGTGCATCGACGGTACAAAGCGCCTCTGTCACATCCGTGGGAAGATGCACAAGAAGGTCTGGATTGCCGCCGGCGATATCATACTCGTCGGTCTCCGTGATTATCAGGATGATAAGGCTGATGTGATTCTGAAATACATGCCGGACGAGGCTCGTCTTCTTAAGGCCTATGGTGAGCTTCCTGATAATACTAGACTTAATGAAGGTATTGGTGCTGGGCTTGATGAGGAAGATGATGGTGATGCTAATGATTACATTGAGTTTGAGGATGAGGATATTGATAAAATTTGAAAAAAGTTTTTTTTTTGTTTGAAGTTAAAAAGTTGAATTTTAATTATTATTACCATCGTTATATGTGATGATGATGAACATGATGATATGTAATGTTTGGGGTTTTATGTTGTACTCTATTATGGGATATCACAGTGATGATATCGTGAATTGAATTTCAATGCACAAGAATAATTAATAGCTTGTTATCAGCTTAGTTGATTTGTTGTTCTGTTTAGAGTTTGTTGGGTGATACTATTATAACTGTTATTTTTTGTTTTTGTAGTTTTGGTTTGGTGTTCTGTTTGATTTAGTTGTGTTGTTCTTTTTGCGGATGGTGTGGTCATGAGTGATTATGGATTGGGGTTTTGATGTGGTGGTTGTTTCACTGATGTGGTTGTGTTTCATGGGTGAGTTGAATTAGTTGGATGGATATACTTGATTGTGGTTTTGCTTTTGGGGTGTTCTTGCAATGAGAATGAAGCTGTATAATTTTGTTAGATTTTTATTGAATTGAGCAAAGTGGTGTTTCAGTTTCTGTCCTGTGAATTGCTTTTATTGTCTTCACTAGAACAAGTGATTAAGCTTGTTTTGGGAAGTTTGGCTTCAGGTCGATTGATTATTATTGTTGCTGTTGTTATTGTTGTTGCTGCTGTTGTGGTGTTCTGTTTGTTTTCATTGTGTTGTATTTTTTCTGTTGATTGCTTTGGGGGAGTTAACTTCAGGAATTACTTGGCTGTGGTTTGGCTTTTAGGGTGTTGTTATAATGAGAATGAAGGTATATAATTTCCTTTGATATTTATTGTACTGATGTGGTGCTTCACTGTTCTAACTCTTGTTTTTGTTTTCTTCATCTGAACAAGTCATTAAGCTTGTTGGCAAGTTTGGTTTCAAGTCCATTGTTTGTTTTGTTCCATTTCCCCCAAAATCTCATTCTTGGCTTTGTCAGTTGCTTTATTGATCTCTTTCAATCACTTATTGTTTCAAAGTCTTGGACTAAAAAAATTCTCAAGTCAGGCAGCAACATATTGTGGCATGTGTTGGATGATGATTTTATTATTGGTAATGTTGTTTTTGTAGTTTTGGTTGTGCTGTTTTATGTTTTAATTCTCTTGTATTTCTCTTGGTGTGGTGATGAGTGGTTATGCACTGGGGTTTTGATGTAGTGGTTGTTTCACTTGGAGTAGAATTGGATGGATGTAACTGATTATATTAAAATGAAATTGATGTTTCGCTGTCCTTTGTTTTGCCCCCTTCCGCAAAATCTGATATCTTTGGTTTTCAATTACCATTTCTTGCAATTTCATATTCTTTTTTCCAAACTGTTTGAATAAAATACTCAATTCAAGCAGCAGCATTTGGTGGCATTTGTTGCAGAATTTTAGTTTATGCAAAACAGTAATGATTCTATGAATGTAGCCTGTTGGTAGTGGCGATCAAACTCAGACAAGCAGTTCAAACTACTTCGGTTCCCATATACTATGGTTTTCTAAATAAAGGTTCGAATCGGGGTTTGGTTTTAGAGAAAATGGGAATGATGGTTCATCTTTGCACCATTTAGCTCATTCTTGCTAGCGAAACATGGGAGAATGCTAAGAAGGCCATTATGATATCCACTGCCTCTATTTTCTTTGTTAAACTCCATCTTTAACATACGATAAAAAATTTCAGTTAATGAAGTCATATACTTTTAAAAATTTACTTTAAATAAAAACATTTTTTCTCTTCTGGCCTCATCAACGATTTTATTAGCTATCATTACTAAAATATTTATTCCATATCCTTGCAATTTATTTGATTTGATTAAAATATCTTTATATAAATTGTGTTAAAAAATTTATTTTTTCCCTCTTTCAAATCTTAAGTTATCCGATTTAATAAAAAATATTGAACATAAATTATTATTTTTTATACCAGAAGTTTTACCCCTAAATCCTACAAGTCCAATATTATAATTGAAGTCTTACTTTCAACCACAAAACAGGATTGAAGCTCTTTCCCCGAGTTCTTCGAGCAACAAAACAACATTGTTAGTCTTATTTTCAAGTTCTCTGATTAATAAACTAACTTTCTAGAAGTCTTTTGAGTAAATTTTTCGGTGTTGTTTTTTGTCATCGAATGTCTTAAATTGAACCATCTTTCTTGATACTTTTCAACTCAATTTTAATATTTTATTAGATTTATTTCTTGTTCTTGTGTGATTCTTCAGCCATATTATAAATACCTTTGGATGGCTTGATGTGTGTGTTATTGTGCAGGATTTAGGCATAAAACATCAAAGATTAAGACACAAGTGAAGTGGATAAGGAAGCCAGAGAAAAGAAGACGAATCAACATGTTTGCTATGCAAACACCAGCGAGGTGAAAGCGAATGTTCGTTGTGCGAGATCCTGACGAAGCCCCAAAGAACCAGTCCAGATTAGAGGCAGTAGGAAAAGGATCCAAAGTTCGCTCGGCAAAGCAGTTCACTGTGCGAAGAAGTGCTTACATGGCAAACTCAAATATTTTCCAAGGGCGATTTAATTGTTCCTGAGGCATTTCAAGTGCCCAAATGTGGTCTTCGCTAGGCGAAAAAGGTGTTTGCTAGGCTAACAAGACAAAATTCTGTTTTAATATATATGTACTTTTCTTTCTTTTTAAAAAATAACTTTTGTATAACATATATTTTGAGATCAGAACTTTATCTCTCTTCATTCTAAGCATATTCTAGAGAGAGAAACACAAACCCTAAGAGGGAGAAGGTAAGATCTTCGATCTCTTGTAAGGTTTAGATGTAATCTTTTGATACCTTATGTATTTCATCTAATATATGTATTGTGAACTATTTTTGATTCAATATTAATGTTGTCTTTGATTTCTTATTTGTGGGCCTTGACAAAATATTTTTCAAATCTTAGATCTTAGATATATTTTTGATTCATCTATCAATGAGCAAACTTTTGACATAATCTTGTAAGTTGATATTCACTTATCTTATATTTCATTGTGTTGATTAATAGCATGAGTAGGATCAATATGGTATTGTGAGGATGCATGATAATAGAGATGAAGAACTATGTTCACTTACATTTGACAAATTAGTTGAATACATGTAAAAAGAGTTAAACGTATGTACGTATTCTGATCATGGCGTTTTATATGAATCAATCATGAAGCTGATATGAATGTCATCTTTGTTTACCTGTTTATCTTTAATTTGAACCGTTATAGAAATATACTCTTCAGATCTGGATCTAAGATGATTATCTGTTAGGTTATAGACTTTAGACATAAATTAAGGCTTAACATTTGCTTGAGTATCAATTCTTAATGCTATGCGTTGTTGAGTTGCGTGAGACATCACCAATGAGACAATACAGTTGTTCTCTCGACTTTGCGTTAGACATAACCTCGGTTGTGGGTGATACGTGAGGATATTAGACGGATAATTGATTTGTGTTTAACTAGTTAGAAGAATGCATGTGTTATCAATTGATGTGATTCAATCTCAACAAGGTTCCGTTTATATTTTCAACTTTTATCTATTGTATCCTTTATCTTTTAACCAAATTTTCACAAAAGCTTAGAAATATAGAGACTGTTAAACGACGTTCTTTCTCTCGCACCGATCCCTGTGAAGACGATATAAATTTCGTAAGAAATTCTTTCAAATCTAAATATTTGCTTCTTGCTGCTTTACTGTAGTTCGAACAAAATACCTTGGTAGACCGCATGACATGTCTCTTCTCGTATGGTATAAACACCATGTTGCTCGTTATTTATGGTATGATGAATTAAGTAAATCTCAGACACTTTATGTTGAATAATCTTTAATTTTAATTATAGTTTACTTTATATTTTTGGTTTTTAAAATTATTTTTCATGAAAGAGGTGTGAAAAAATAACTAAGGCGGTTGCACAGGGAAGAAAAGTTAATAGACCGAGTTCCAGTATACCTCCCACCAGTGGTTTAGGGTTTGTCAGATGACTCTGGTCTATCTTCACATTAGAGAATTAGTTCGAGTAAGATTGACAAAAATCTAGTATGAACATTCTCAAAGATATGACATCCAAAGACATCATTCTTTCATATGCCATTTGGTGAGATGACCATTACGTTGGACGATGTTTATTTTCTACTTCACCTTTTGATCAGGGTGATTTATAGGCCCTCCATTGAGTACGACTAAATAAGGTATTATTGCTTATGCTGCTGAGTTGTTAGCCGTGACTATAAAGGAGGCAACATGTGAGATTTATGCTTGTAGGGATCCATATTATAAGCTAAAGTGGATGCACACTTTATTCGCGCGTCATCGAGCTGATGATCGATTTGATTGCACTGCCAGAGCCTACACGATGATGCTGACTGATTGCCGACAAAACTTTTACTATTGTAGAGGCAAGATATCTGTGACTATTTTAGGAACTTATCAGAATGTAGTAGATATAGTTAAGAAGCTGCAACATTGGTCATATTCTATAGATATTTGGGAAATGCTTCCATGTTTACCTGCAAGCAGCTTGACGAATATGTCACTCTACTACAAAGTATTTATTTTTAGTTAGTTTCTTTTATTATTATTATTATTATTATTATTATTATTATTATTATTATTATTATTATTATTAAATAATGCAGTTTTAGTTTTGTATATTAATTTCTCTAATTTTTTAGTACCCCTTTAAAAGAAATCAACTATTTGGCCTCTCTTTATGAAGTTATGTGTTTTTTTTTTGGTAATCTCCTTCCAATTGTAAGCAATTTCTATGACATGACGCATTAAAAATTGGTCCCACTTTTCAAATGTACATGCACGTCAATAAATACATAATATTAAAAAATTTTAATAAAAAAATTGAATTTAAAATATAATTATAATATATTATTATTATTATTATTATTATTACTATCGTTCAGACAGGCACTCCCGTGCCCGTCTGTCCGCTTTTTTTAATGCGCACAACATAAAAAAATAAACGTGTGTATATTTTGAATGAACTATATATTAATGAATTAACTATATATTAATGCTACTATT